TTAAGCCCCCGGAGGGGATTTTTTATTGATTTTTTAAACACTACAAAAACTAGAACAGAAAAAAGGGAAAGGGAAAGCTACATATAAGGGAGAAAGTAAAGAACCCACTACTAACTAAAAACCCAAGAGAGGAGATCTCCAACTAGCTTTTTATACTTCATTCAGACTTTTCATCTTTGTACTTCTTATGAACTGTGTCAATCTTTTAACCCTTTTAACCATCCCCAGTTACATTTAATTGCCCAATAACAGTGCCCCCCATCATCCCCTAGAACCAAAGTTCTCAAAGGCACAATTCAGAGTCCTTCAGCCTTTACTTCTTCTTCTCTCTCTTCCGCAGTTTGTAGGGACTTTTCGGGGCTGATGCCCCCTGCTCAGACAAAGAGTCCTCACCAGACGAACCAGTTTCCAGCTCTCCACTGGACTTATCGTCCTCTTCTTTTTTCTCGTCCTCTGGCCTTCCCAGCTGCTCCTTTAGAAGCCCTCCATGTCTTTAATTACCCTCATAAACCACTGGGTAGTTCAAAGGATGGCCCCATCAACTGACTAACGTTCACCTGCAGACAAAACACAAGCACTTGGTGCATTGGTTCTGTCACCACTTAAGGACAGAACTTAAGTCTGAATCCAGTGGCACCTAGAAGACCAACCAGGTTTAATTCTGGATATAAGCTTATGTGTGCCGAAGTCCACGCTTATGTACACGCAGACGAAAGCTTATGCCCAGAATTCAACTTGGTTGGTCTTCAAGTTGCCACTGGACTCAAACAGGCCCTGGCGGGGAGGCCGGGGTATCAATCTAGTGGTTCCAGTGGTTAAGAGTGGCAGACCAGGATCTGAATGTAAAGGTAAAGGTAAAGGTTCCCTTGCTCGAAAGCCAGTCGAATCCCACTCTAGGGTTGCGGTGCTCATCTCCGTTTCCAAGCCGAAGAGCCAGCGCTGTCTGAAGACGTTTCCGTGGTCATGTGGCCGGCATGACTAAACACCAAGGCGCACGGAACGCTGTGACCTTCCCACCGAAGTGGTACCTATTTATCTACTTGCAATTTCTTGCTTTCGAACTGCTGGGTTGGCAGGAGCTGGGACTAGAGACGGGAGCTCACTCCGTCATGTGGCACACTCGGGTCTCGAACTGCTGAACTACTGACCTTCCACAGCCCACAGTTCAGCGTCTTAACCACTTGAGCTACTGCAGCTCCTAGGATCTGAATGACAGAGGTTCAAATCCCCACTCATGCCGTGGAAGCTCGCTGGGTGACCTAGTGCCAGTTGCTCTCTCTCAGCCTAACCCACCTCACAGGGCTGTTGTGATGATAAAATGGAGGAGAGGAGAATGATTTGTGCTGCTTTGGGTGTCTGTTGGGGAGAAAGGTGGGATATGAATTAAGTGAATGAATGAATAAATAAACAAGACTGTGGGAGTCAGGTGGGCCACGTGAACCAATCCTGAAATGAGCAATGCTTGGCACTCACAAGCACCCATTAATTCCTCTCATTTAGATCCCATATTTCTTCTAAGGAGCTCAGGGCGACATTCATGGAAGTGGGTTGGGTGAGGGGCTGTGGCTCAATAATAGAGCCTCTGCTTGGCATGCAGAAGGTCCCAGGTTCGATCCCCGGCAGTGGGTCCTGGCCCCACTGATGGACCTCCTAATGGCCCCTGGTATTTTTGGTCACTGTGTGATACAGAGTGTTGGACTGGATGGGCCTTTGGCCTGATCCAGCATTGGCTTTTCTGATGTTCTCATGTTCTTATGGGACAGGGTTGCCAACTCTGGGTTGGGAAATTCCTGGAGACCTGGAGGTGGATTTGTGGTGTTGCTGGTCAGGTCTGAGCCAGCTCTAGGGTTGCCAGACTCCAGGCGGTAGATGGAGATCGCCCGGGACTAGAACTGATGTTCAGGAGACAGAGACCAATTTCCCTGGGGAAAATGTCCCCCTTGGAAGGTGGACTCTATGGTGTTATATCCTGCTACCAGAGACTTGCATCCCCATGCAGATCCGCTCCAACCGTGTCTTTTCTTTGCAGGCCACCGCCACGGGCTTCCACGGCCTGTCCCACCTGCTGGCCAAGGGCCTTTCCACCTTAACCTATTCCACCCTCTGCCTCCCCGATGACCTCAGGGACAGGGGGGTTGAATCCCTGCCCAACTATTACTACAAGGAGGACGGCATGAAGCTCTGGGAAGCTATCCACAGGTGCGAGGCAGGTGGGAGGGGAAGGGAAGCCCAGGAAACGAGGCTTGCCCCGAGGGCTGGCAGAAGGTCTTTTGTCACCTGAAGCAACGTGTATTCAGTGTCTCCTTCCATAGAATCATAGAATGTTACAACCTGGAGCTGTCAACCCTAACCAACTCCCCACGTCAGCACCTGGGGGGGGGGAGCTGACTCGGAACTGATTGGGGCAGCCTCCGTCCAGGAGGCAATGCCCATTCCCCTCCTCTCTGCTGCCCACTGGGGTGAGCTCAGTCCCCTGCAGGGTCGTGAGGATGCCTTCCCCCATGCACCGCCCCAAGTGATAGCAGGGCTGCCAACCTCCAGGGGATGCCTGGAGAACTCCGGGAATTGCCACTGATCCCCAGAGTACAGAGGTCGATTCCCCTGGAGAAAATGGCTGCCTTGGATGATGGACTCAATCACGTTATACCCCGCTGATGTCCCTGATACTAGTCCGAAACTTTTAACTACTACACCACCCTGGGTCTCCTAGAAGAGGAAGAAGCAGGGGTCATTTCCTGCGGGTGTCACGGCAGGGCCAGGGAGCGTGGGTTAAACAAGTCAAGTCCAAAGCCAGTCCGAGGTTCAGCCAATAGTTCAAGCAGCACAGAGATTTAAACAAGTCCAAAACAGTTCACAAATGTCTACAGGACAGCCCTGCAAATACTTGAAGGCTGCAATCGTGTCCCCTCTAAGCCTTCTCTTTCCCAGGCTGAACCTACCCAACTCTTTCAGCCTTTCCTCTTAAGACTTGGGTTCCAACCCTCTCACCATCCTCGTCGCCCAATTCTGGACACGCTCGAGCTTGTCAGCATCCTTCCTAAAATGTGGTGCCCCAAACTGGACACGGTACTCCAGGTGAGGCCTGACCATAGCAGAAGAGAGCGGAACGACCACCTCTTCGT